GTATTACTTCTGCTCTGAACTGGAGCGTTCTGCATGTTGTATATTTTTACGACTACAATGTATGGACTAGACAGCTGGAGGTTTGGGCCTGTAACACAGCAGATGCTGACCCCAGGACATATGGGTTGGCTCTGTAGGTGGCCATACTCCTACTATTTCCATTACTTCTGGGAGAAATTCTGCTGACACAAGCAGAAAAACTCCCTTCTGCCCCCAACATAGGATTAGTCAACACACATACCTACACACACACACACAGAAGCTAGCTGTGAGTTTAGCGTGTGCCACTTAATTTTCTAATTTAGTTTACCATAAGTATCATGTTAAATCCAAGCAGACCTTTGTGTGTCCATTTATTTGCTTTAGGAAACCTTGACACCAAAACTGGAGGGTTAAAACTGATCCCGCCTGGATGTAAAGCATGTAGGCAGGCAACACTAACACTGCTGATTTTAGAAACTCACGTTGCTCAAACTTGAAAAAATAACACCCAACAGAATATTCTTCCTAGCTTCATTCCTTTATCATAGCAGGACTTTGGCACTGAGACATCTTTTGCTGGTTCTTCAAATTGCATCAAGCTAGAACAGCTTGACAGTCCACATCCTGATGGAGAGACTAAGCTTTAACATCAAGGATTATGTTGCTGATTAGCACTTCCAATAATCAAGTAATTGGTACATTAAATAATCCAGAGTTTGGCGACTTGCCTGAAAAGGTCACGCTTGCATTGATTCCTTTTTAGAGAGTCCATGTTGCTATTACACGAATTCAATCTGTCTGTCCAGAACTCTAGCGTAAAAATATTTGGCTGATTTCCTTCTTTTCATACAATTTGATGGGAAATAAAATCCAGGAAAAGTTGCACATTAGGGCAATACATTCAGATTTTCCAATTAGGGTAGGTGGGGAGCAAAAGAGAAAAAGACAACTGTCTGGACTTTCTCTTCTCCCGGGTTAGCGTGGCCAGTGCAATCAATACAAACCTCCAAGGGCCCAAGTCAACACAATTATTAGTGCAGCTCCTACCCTCTTTGTATTTCAGTAGAATTTCTGTGAGGTTTGGAGTCTCTCATGAGGGATCCTCCCCGCAACCAGGCTGCCAAAGGAGCAGGGTTTTACCTCCGCCCTTCCCCAGGCCTGGGCAGGAGGAACTCATCGGAACGGCAGAGGTCAGGGCTGCGGCATAAGGAGCTGCACCAATGCTCTGTTCCCCCTGATCGTCCCCTCTGTACAGACATGGGCAGGCTCTGAGCCTTGTGCAGCCTTCACAGACAGACTACTGGGAGGCCAGAAATCTAAGCAGCCCTCCTGGTCCCCTGGACTGGCTATTACCAGCACTAGTGAAAGGAGGGCTCTGCATGAAACCAAAGTCCTCACCTCAAATCAATCATCAGAGCTGCACAAATCACTTGTGTGTGCCTTGAGAGGCTCAAAACCCACCCGCATTTCACTGAGGTACCCACTGGAATGAGATGGTTATCATGCTGTTTATTTCTACAGAGTATTTTGGGTATCCTCTTTCCCTTGAAGCACACAAGGATCCTGGTCTCGTATCTCTTCTGCACAGAGGCTACCTACTTTCTTTTTGTGGAGAAAGGAGGGGATGAACACAGACTGACTAATAATCATTGCCATGCTGTGCTACTGCACAAACCCCAGAGGCATGGCAGACACCTAGGCTGGGCTTTTTAACTATCAGTGTCTATGGGGACATCTATGTCTGTGCCAGTCACCCTAAGTTTCCTTCACAGCAGGGAGAAATAGGCACTCCTAGGGCACAATTCATCTGAGCTGTCTTAGTTGTCGACTTCAGGATGAGCTCAGCTGTCTCTTTGAAGTGCCTACTTCTCTAGGTTGATTTTAAAGAGAGTTTAGACAATTAGCTCAGCTCTGTCTTCGTTCCAGATGTCTATATTGGGTCAGATTAATCTTGCCTGGCAACTTGAAAACTTTCCTGTAAGACAACCCTTACACTGAGACAAAGGAATATATAAAACTCTTGCTGAATGGGAAAATGGTTATTCCTGAGGATAACCACAGTGGCAGTTATTGACATTTAGAGAATACAAAGAGCTGAGGACAATAACTGTGTCCTGGGTTCGGCTGGGATAGAGTTAATTTTCTTCCTAGTAGCTGGTACAGTGCTGCGTTTTGGACTTGGGATGCGAATAATGTTGATAACACACCGATGTTTTAGTTGTTGCTAAGCAGTGTTTATA